CTGTCCACGACTGCGGACACCTAGTGCTCAAACCTGCATTACGCCATCGATATCTACAGTGCCATAACACTCATGAAAACTAGGCTGGGATTCAGCTGCCCTAATAGCACCAGAAGCTTATGTGTGGGCATCTAAATCAAGCCCATAGCCCACTTGCAGACAGCCACTGCTACACCTAAAATTAAATCCAGCCCTTCAACTGAGGTTCCTTTACCTGGCCATGAGCATCCAGAGCCATTTGAAATGCCTGCAGGACACCCACGTGGATCGGACAAATGTGAAGCCTGTGGGAAAACTGCCAAGCTGGATGTCCTGGGGCATCTCACAAGGCACTTAACCCCTGTGTTTGGGCATCTGAATCCCACCAGTAAGCTCTAAAGCGCCAGCATGGATTTGGAAAGTGAAACATACCGTTCTTGCAGATCTCCTGGTGCACAGTCTTGGTGTAGTACCACCTTCCAAAGACTGTGACGTACAAAGAATGCTAATTTGGTTATTTAATGTTTATAAAGAAGTTTGGGATCCATCTGGGTAACAACACTACACATACATAAAGTCATTATCTCCAGTGCTTCCTATGAAAATCTTGATATTTACCACCCACTGGCATTTACCTAAAGTATAGTATTTGCACTGTAACCTGACACTTAGGATAGGAAAAGTCAATTTAGCAACCTGAAGCAGTAAATGTTAAAATGTGAGTTTCCATTTACACAGAAGTCCTGATTTCTTTCCAGAAAAGTGTGAAAGGGACATGGTGTGAACATAGTAAGATTTCTGTGATGCTTATTTCATTATGTTAGATTCACTTGTTCTTTTTCAAGGTACAGTAAGCATTTTTTGGAAGCAATTTCTCTTTCACTTTATAACAACTGACCAGCAAACCAAAATCTTTGTGTCTAAAAGCTACTTAAATTTTTTTATTTCTCCTTTGCTTGGAACAGGTGCCTATTCCCTGTCTATTCGTGACTGGGATGATATGAAAGGAGATCATGTCAAACATTATAAGATTCGTAAACTTGACAATGGTGGATATTATATCACAACTCGGGCACAATTTGAAACTCTTCAGCAGCTGGTTCAGCATTATTCAGGTAATTTTTCAGATAATACACGGCACTCTGAAGTATTTTAAAACAAAAGTGTTTGCTGCTGAGCTGATGTATGTGTAAGACGCCCTAAAGAGTCATTTGAGCTATGTCTCTTGCTTGTTGTAATGCATCTTCCATTATCCCTTTCCCATTACAGTTATAAATGGCTTTGAGTGCTGTTCACAGTGTACAGCGGCAGAGGTTTTAAAAGCTAGCACTCTACTGAGGTAAAGGTTTTGCCTGCTCTCCCTCTTCTAAGCAAACAGAATTACTGAATTTGACTTGCACATCTCAAAGCATGAATTCCCTGTGCATAAGCGAGCGCTAATATGTACCGTTTTGCAGCACACTATTGCTAATAAAGCAAATAGGGAATTGCATTGTGGAATTCAGTCATCTAAAGCAATGACCAAAAGGTTTGCATATATTACCTGACTCAAATTTTCCCACTGGATTTGTGTTCAATGTGCAAAGTATTAACATTTAATTTATAATCGGCCTAATTTTAAGAATAAATATGGCAAGGTGGATGTTTCTTTATGCACACTGTTTGTGTCCACCCTCCAAGCTCTTTTTTTTTTTTTGATTCCTGTGATTAAAATGTGGCATGCGCTATTCAACCCAAAAGCGCATCCTGCTGTCCTTGGCGATTGGTATACAACAGATACAACTTTAAAGTCCCCCAAACCTCTGCATAGGACAACCGGTTCTTACATGGAAGACTGCCATGGTTCTCAACATTGTCATTTTTTAAGAAGAAATTTGTATTTTGAATTATTTTGCTTTTTATTTTTTCCTTACTTTAGCTTTTCATAATATTAACAGATGACCCCAAATGCTCGCTGCTCAAAAACTGTTCATAATTTTTACTTGGGAAATCAACTTCTCTGTGGGGTGTTTTTTTCTGTATTCTTTGTATTCTGTCTGCTGTATTCTTATGCTATTCATACTAGACATCTGGCTGTCTTCTCTGCCCAATTTCTGATGGGTGTATGCTGCCTGGGAGAATTTCTAGTTGTTTGTGGTGACTCTGCATTAAACTAAGCTAAATAATGTATAAAAACTCACATCTAAGGAAGATAATTTTCAACCCCACTATACCAGCTGGTATATGTCAACTTCTAGTTTTCTGTGGTCAAATTATTTGGGTGGTGTATTTTCCATGCACAGATGCATAAACAAATAGATCTGGAAACAGCCATTTCTGTGCAACACAGGGGATAATCAGTAGGATCCAGGTAGGGTAGCTCAGGAGGGCATGGTACAGACCCACACTCCAGAGGTTTCACCTGCGGTCTCCCAGACTCAGGTGAACACAGGAGCCCTCATTCCATGCCAGCCCCAGCTGACTCAAAACATAAAGGCTGCCTCTAACCGCCTGCTCTGCACTCCGCATTGTGGGAGGTAGATTCGCACAACGCCTTGTGAGTGCCTAGGTTTACTTCTAGGGAGAGCTCAAAGATGCCCAGATGACTCCGTAAAGATCAGCATGGTTCCTGAAGACTGCTGAGACCATAGGTCAGTGCCTTCACAGCAGGACAGGTACGCTCTGCAGCCCACCCTTCAGCCTTCATCCCATAGCTGTCCAGGCTGGAGGACCCCTCCTGTCCAGGGAGCTGGAAACCAGGCTAGCCAGGTAGACAGTGTGCAGTTTGGTCTCGCGTAAGCAGTCCTGGGTCAGGAGTTGGAAGTACAAAGTGTACCTTTGTGCAGACACAGCACGGGTGTCCCTGCACTGTGCTCCCATTGCACGGCCGAGTACCCTCATTACCCAGATTTCCCTCTTGTCCTAGCCGCTTCTTACCTGGATAATAAAGTTAACTGCAGTGTCTGGACTTTCACAGATGAGATTTACAGATGAAAAATATTGAGATCTCCAGGGTGTCCTTACGTCAGACTGAAGTCCAGTAAACAGCACGTCTGAAGTTGAAGCACCGTTCACCCAATCCCTTACAGCCGGCCTGTCAAGCATAAGCTCTTGTGCGTGCAGTCTAGGCTTAACTGGAGCACCAGCATGCCAAGCTTTTTTTTCAATTAAAGAAAGCAAGGAGGTCTTAAAAACCTCCAGTTTCTTTCTGCAGCTGTCCAAACTCATAAGGAAGCTTTCCAGATACTATCCATATTTTGAGTAGTCCCTATCCTAATGTTCCCATTGGAATTATCTTGGAATAAGACATGGCAACTGGTCAGCTAATCTTCCCTGTTTTGTGGTCTTTGTTGTCTTGCTACAGGAGACACAATGAGGTCCATGTCAGGGTGTCTGTAGGGACTTCCCCACCATCCCGCAACATTCGTGCTGAGGAGGTAGAGCTTGGTGTTGCAAGGAGCTTCAGTGCTTGCCCACCTTGTGATGCTGAAACAAATTGTTCACCTGCCCAGACAGAAATCTTGCACAGGAGAAAAAAGATTATGTTTGAGTCTGAAACACAATTTCCCCACCTTGTTCTGCTCTGCTGTACCTGTTTTAAGATACAAGTCGCTGTGCAAGCTTTATATTGTAGTCTGCTTTGGGCAGCATGGTATACTATACAACAATATGTGTATATATCTGTATATTTTTATATATATCATTGTTTTTACTCCTGCTAAAAGATCTTGTGACTTTTGACACAGATCAGTCTGCTGTGAAGCTTTGCAAGAGATAAGTATAATGAATCTGCCCCAAATGATGTAGGACTGGCTGCATATGCTAATAAAGGTTTGCTCTAGAAAGAATGGCAGAAAGAAAAGTCTTTTACAGGACACCTACAAAAACACCTTTTCACAGAGTAGAATATAGAAAACACCTTTTCCCAGGATACCTAGAAAAAAATCAGGAAAAAGTCCACCAAATTTTCATTGCTGTCATTTTCAGAAAAAATGAATCTTCTCTGTGTTTCTTTTACTCAGTACAGAAACAATACAGTTTGTGACTTACAGATGATTTTTAAACAGTTATACTGTAGTATAGTATACCAGTTACTTGTGAAGTTATCTTAATACAGCATTGTGGGAGAAGGGAAATCCTGAGTCCACGAGAAAAAACATTGGCGGTCACCTTCCATTTCAGGCTGTGGAAGCAGAGACTAAAATATTTCCTGTTCTGTCTCAAATGAATATGTTTCAGTGTTCAATTTCTAATCTTCCAGGATGCTTTGTGGTATGCAACTAACAGCTGTTGTGAGTAGCATTGTTTTTATGCTTACTGTTTTTGTTTCATGTCACACTTTTTTTTCTTTCCTCTCCTTTGCTGTTGGCTTCACTTCTGGCTCCATCAGAGAGAGCTGCAGGTCTTTGCTGCCGCTTAGTAGTCCCCTGTCATAAAGGAATGCCAAGGCTTACTGATCTGTCTGTCAAAACCAAAGATGTCTGGGAAATTCCACGAGAATCCCTACAGTTGATCAAGAGACTGGGAAATGGGCAGTTTGGGGAAGTATGGATGGGTATGGAGCAAAATAATTATTCTAAAATAGCTGTCTGTGTGGGGATGACAAGATGGAAGGTGAAAATGTAGGACACTGTGACCCACAAGAAAAAAAAAGCAAAGCTCATACAGTTAGGAAAAATGTCTTTGGAATCATGTCTTTGACTTTGAAATTCTTTAATCTTCAACTTTCATTGTAATTGATGGCAAAAGAAAACTGAAATTCCGTGTTTCCTTGGAAGGTTTCGATTTTGACAAATTACCAGTGTCTTAATAATAAATCAAGGCTCACATAGTAATCTATTAATTATACCAAGGAGCCTTTTTCTGCAAGCTAACAAAAAAGTCCTTACCTTCAGTATCCAAAAATCAGTGTTTGCAAATGAACTTTAATGCAGCACTGAGAGAAAAGTCACCTTCCATCTTTCTCAATGCATGCATAATTTTGGATTATAAGTGTGTTTTTTTTATTAATTTCCTCTCCTATAGAGAAAGCTGATGGTTTGTGTTTTAACTTAACTGTGATTGCTACGAATAATACCCCACAAACTGTTGGATTGGCTAAAGATGCATGGGAAGTTGCACGTGATTCATTATTTCTGGAACAGAAGCTTGGTCAGGGGTGTTTCGCTGAAGTGTGGCGTGGTAAGGCAGAGAATATATTTTGCTTTGGATGGATCTTTTAAGGCCCTCTTGGCAGAAATAAACATTTCAAGTAGAGATCTTAAAGCTAAAAGATCAGAATAGTATGAAATGTTAGTCTATATCACCTAAAACAGTCAGACCTAAATACCGTAATCCACGGGGAAACTTCCTTTCATTTGCACACACTGGTATGAAAGGTTAGGGCATTAAACTTCATTAATTGCATTGGGTTTATTTGGGTGACTACACAATTGCTAGGTATTAAAATAGGAATGATGCTAAACTTGTAAGACAGAATGGCTAACCAGAAATTAATCTGGTAAGTAGACATTTTTCTTTCCTCGTGTGTTTTAGCACTGATGGGGTCAGACCCTGAAAATGCTTCCGTCCGCTCTCCCAGTTTATAAATAATGGCAAGTATCAGCAAGCTAATATTGTCAAGCTAGCTTTCCCATGCATCCACTTCTTTAAGTCCATTTTGAAATTTGTGTCTGCAGCAGAACCCCGTAACTTGATATAGAGACCAGGGACAATAGAGGCAAGACTTGCCCAGCCCAGCTGAACCCCCACTTTGAAGTCCAGAAATATTGACATTTTCCAAATCCACTGACATTGTTTTCTGCGCACTTGCCAGCTTTACTTACTGCTCCCCTCTCTATGGGCCTCATTCTTTTAATAACTATAAAACAATAGCAATTTAAAATATACATAAATCTTAGTATGGCTGTAGCATTGAAACACAATATAGTGGCCATTTAATGAGAGGTGGGCTCAATTTTTGTGCCAAATTGCATTCTGTATAGCCTCTTTAAAATGACCAATTCAAATAAAGAATCGCTATATGTTGTTTCTTCAGAAAAATTTGGTGGAGCAGTTTGGCCGCTCTTTTTGTTGCAGTGACACAAAAGTATGTACAACCAAAATAACTAGCGGGCTCTCCTGGGTTCTTGCAGCTGTTCTCCGTTGCAAGACTACAGCCAGGAGCAAATGCCAGCAAGTCTGTGAAATTTATAGAATTTATAGACTAGAAATACAGAAATTTATAGAATTTCACAGAATTACAGTTGACCTGTTGCAAGGAAAGCTACCTATGTTTTCTATTAGCATCCCCAGATAACTGCAGTTTCACCTTCTTGTTCTCCATCTTGAATGCATGCGAGAGTTTCAAGTTGATGTTAATACTTAGTGGTCAGCTTTGTGTGCCATAGATCTTAAACTGATACAATAAGCTAAAGCAGCAAATGCAATTTGAAAAAAAAAAATATCAGCTATGAGAAATAAAGTGCGAAGTACCAGTACCAAATATCTGTCAGAAACGCAAAAATTATTATTACAATTATGACATTATGTTTCTTAAAGTAATGTATAGTAAAAATATGTTAATAGCCCTGAAGCATTACCAAATTGGAATAGATTAACACAGTAAAAATTAATAAAAAATGCATTAAGTAGTAACTAACTACATATGGGAGGAATTCAGAGGGAAGTCTATGCTAATTTTCTATTAGAGAGAAACATACCAAACCACAACAAGAAAATTTAACAATTTAATCTGAAATCTGGACTGAGAGGATAAGTTAACCATTTTGTTTGATTTTCTTTTTTTAACTGGAGAAATTCATAAAAGTATTTGAAAATAGAACTGCTGAAAACACTTCATGGTAGTAGAACGAGTCCTGCGATTTTTATTAAGGTAATGCAAACAGATAATAGAGAGTTAATCTGTTAACACACCAGGTAAAATCCTACTTTATTAACACCAGTGACAGAAACCCTGGTGCTCGTGAAACTGGGGTTTCATTTCTGGTTCACGTAATTCGTGGTACCTCTGCAAAGTGGCTGTGACTGACGGCACTCTGTGGTCTGGAGCCTCAGTGGCTCCAGATAAAACACACTCCCTTTCACCTGTCAGAAAAGATTTTGGCCTTCCTGCTTGAAATTAGGAGGTGAAACCACATCCTTCCCAGCTTACACAGGAGTGCCACTAAGCAAAAGTCCTGCTTCAGCTCTGATTTGAAGGACTGAGTGAAACCTCAAGAGTCCTCCTCAAGCGCACTGGGGAAACATTGGTAGGAACTCAAGACGTTACTCCACCACTGGTCGAGGTGACAGCACCTGGCACTGAGCTGGCAGAAGAGAATCAAGGCATAGTGAAAAGCGAACTTGTATGGCACACTTTTGGCTAATACGTGCCTCAAGCCCCCCTCAGACAGCATCGTGTGTTGCTGCGGGGATTGCCCTGTAAGTGAGGGACGACACAGGCAGTGGCTCCCCCGCCGCCCCTCCCCTGTCCTCGACTAGACGAGGTGGCAGCTGGGACCTGACCACTTGCACAAAAAACAATCCAGCTCATTTTATGCTCTGGCAGGTTGCAAAAGCTCGTGATGAAGTTATTTTGGCTTAACCAGTTCCCATGCAGCAGCTGAGCCCTGGTAACTGTTAATGTGCTTTTAACATTTAAGACAAACCAGGCTTATTTTACATGTTACTTTTTCTGATGACATCTTAATTTATAGAAACTAGATCTGAGTCTGAGTCTTCATGTACTTTGTAGGCCTTCTGCTATCCCATGCTTAAGTGCAGAGGAGTAATTTTTACCCAATGTGATTAATTCCTGAAGTCATTTAGTATTGTTCTGCCTTATCACACAGCAGCTCCCTATCAACAGATCACAGGTCCCATTCAAGGCCATTTCAGCCCTGGCTCTGGAGCAGAGCTCTGGCAAGTCTGGGCAAGGGACAACCAGAAAGCACTAAGAAAGTGATATTTTTGCCCATTTTAATTTTCCTTCCTTTCCTTTCCCCAGCCCCCCATCCCTAAAAAAACTGTTAACATAGGTAGTTGTTTCTTTTTCTTTCCAGTCCTCCTTCTCCCCCTTGCAAATACCCAAGTGAAGCCCCACCTCTTGTGGGACAGCCTGAGTCAGCCTTCCCCAGCTCTCTCCAGGTCCTTGTGCAGGCTTTCAGGTGTTCCAGAAGGCTTGGTAGATGATGGCTGAAAAATGATGCAACTTGTCCATTTCAGTGCTGACCGCAAGTAAAGAACAAAGTGAAGTGGACGGGAACCACCTCATTTTCAATCAGCAGCTGCTGGGCTTCTGGGGATGAGGCGAGGAAGGAAAAAGACGCATTTCGGCTTGGAAACACGCCCATGTTTCTAAACTGAGATTGATTCAGAATTTATTTCTTGGGAATTTTTTTTAGAATATGTTTTTTTCCTCTGACTCAGAACAAAAACAAAATGTTAAAATGTCTTGCAAATGGAAAGTTCTGGGTTTAACCAGTTTTGTTATCCAAATCTGTGACTGGAGATGTGTTGTTGTCTGTAGCAATTACTTGTTAGCAAGGGAATACATGAAGATGGGTTTCAGCAGTCCCGCATTTCTTACTCAGAGAAGGTTTCTGTGGGCATCAGTGGAAGCATTGTCTGAGTAGGACAATGGCGATTGTGCCCCAGTGCCAATGGGAGTATTATTTTTCAGTGTAATAGAAAAAGACTAAAATATGAGGGAGGCGTGGGAGGAATATAATGATAAGGCAACATGGGAAACCACACTTTAAAAAAATAATTATATTAAGTGTCCTTGCTAGTTTATTCCTTGGTAACATTAGGCATCAGGCAGAAAAAGGAGCAGAAGATGTTTAATCTAACTAAGTATCTGTGCTTGTAGGTACGTGGAACGGAAATACTAAAGTGGCTATCAAGACCCTGAAGCCTGGCACTATGTCTCCAGAATCCTTCTTAGAGGAAGCCCAAATCATGAAGAAGCTAAAACATGACAAATTGGTCCAACTTTATGCTGTGGTATCTGAAGAACCTATCTATATTGTCACGGAGTACATGAGCAAAGGTGAAGCCAGAGCTGCTGCCCTTGATAACAATATTTTTTCTTTGTTGATGCTCCTTGGGAATACAGAGGGAGGTGCAGTGTGATGCATGAACAGCATGTGAGGAAGGAGAGAGGCAACAGGAAACTAAATTCACCTCTGGCTTCAGAAGAATTATAAATTCAACTCTGAACTGCGCCTAAAACCTGAAATCCACTAAATGTACAAAGAAAATTTGCACTAGGTGGGGGAAGGAGAAGTTGGTGCAGCCTAAGTGCTTCCAACTGCATCAGCATCTAAACTTCCCTGACAAGTGGAGATTTACATTTTTTAGGTTTGAATTGATATTACGTGCTGCTTCCCAAAATCCTAGCTTTTCCTGGTGCCAGAGAGTTCATATGGCATCTTCTTTCAGTGTTTACTTGTCGTCCTAAGACTTCTGTTTCTTTTTGCAATCCTGAGTTCTGTCACATGCACCTCGCTCTCAGATCGTAGCTTAATTTTCAGTCCACCCCATTTATCATTTTAATACATGATTTGCACATATGATGCTTTCCATCCTCTTTCCCCTTCCCTTTCCCCTTCTCCTTTCTCTTTTTCTTTAAGCTACTTAACTGGTAACGATGTAGTAAAATGAGAAAAGGAAAACGTTTTGCTCCGTCAGATCTCCAGCAGGGGTGCTGAGAGCAGAGCAAAAAATCTGCTTGTTTTGGAAAAACAAATGAACCAAATAGGAAACATAAGTTCTCATAGGGAAGTTTCATTGTACATTGGAGGATACACTCTGAAATTTTAAGTGCATTTTTTCAGTCTATTTGGAATTGATTTTTATTTTCCTGGCAGGTGCCTGCCCACCTCCCTCCTCAGAGGCATCCAAGCCCTGACTAACTCACACTTTAATCATATGTATCAGTGACAAGCATGTGCTTTTTCCCCTTTAAAAAAAAGACTTCTCAAAATCCTTCTGAAGTACGTGGTTTATTTTGGCTTACTTTACTAGTTTTTACTGTAACATTTTACATCTTTGGATCTGAGCTTGAGGCTGATGATTTATCAAGGGAGAAACGCCTAATCATCTGTCTTTTCCCCTTATTTATTAAACCAAATCACTGACCTTATTTAAAGAAGACTGCCACACTTCTCGGTTTGAATACAAGATTGGGAAGGGAGCTATAGCGTCCTAGGCTTTTTTTAAAAGCTACAAGGAACCTCCTTGCTTTCCCTTGCACAGGAGAGCTATGTCCTTACTGCTTTTGCTAAAATTGCTTTCATTTGATCTCTGCTTTGTCTTCTCTGATTTTGCATAGTGGTCTTCTAAAATTAATGGTTCATGCTACATTTAGTTATGGGTTACATAGAGAAGGAGCACTACTCATTTCTAAGGAAAATTAGCCTTTGTTAATGCTAGCCCATTTGGGCTTACCAGGCTCCAGGCTGACCTTTCTTTTGGAGCAGGTAGAGCTGGGATCTGACTTTTTCCATAGCTTGTGTGGCTTGGAACTGAGCTGATGCTTTGCAGCTAGCTGAGGCCTTTAGAGAGCAGCAGGTATGTAGTTTCAAAGAGCACTGGAAAAGTTAAGAAAGATCAGCTTTCTCAGTAATGGTCAGGAGAATTAAAAAAAAAGATGTTGTTTCTTTTCCCTGCAACTCTCTTTAGACTAGTGACATATTCTTCTGCAAGCCAATCTTAAAGAAGAGTAGAACAAGTATAATAGGAGAATTCTAAGATGTTGTGGGGTTTTTTGAAACTGCCCACTTGAATTCGAAACATTGCTGTCTTTAATATTGCACATATTGCTGCACCTCCATCCTGATGAATAGCCATTGTTTCCCTAACATCTCTCTATTATGTCAACTTTGCATTTGCAGGGAGTTTGCTAGATTTCTTAAAAGATGGAGAAGGAAGAGCTTTGAAGTTACCGAATTTGGTGGACATGGCAGCCCAGGTCTGTCTTCAGAGTACTGAGCACTTAGGTGTATATGTTTTACAGCCTGTGTATGTCTGAGTTCATTTTAAAATGCACCGATTGTGCTTCATGCTTCTCACAGGTGGCTGCAGGAATGGCGTACATCGAGCGAATGAATTACATACACAGAGATCTGCGGTCTGCAAACATTCTGGTGGGGAATGGCCTAATATGCAAGATTGCCGACTTTGGATTGGCAAGACTGATTGAAGACAACGAATATACGGCCAGACAAGGTAGATGCAGCGGCAGGCCTAGCACTGGGTGTCATTATTGTGACAGGGGAAGAGTGGAACGTGGCTTTAAAAAGCTCTCTTTCATATGCTTTGGGGTAGCTTTCAGGAAATTCTGAACGCATATTAACTCCTAGCCCAGAACTTCACTGCTGAATGCATGTCCTAAAGAGAACGTCTTATTTAGTTGTCTTCCCTTTAAAAACTGACCAGAATGAAACAAAGATGATGAGTGAGAGCACAGGTAGGTGAAGTGACAGTAAAGACAAGATCCTCATGGTGCCATAACAAAGAGGATACTTTACTTACGTGCCTTGAAAGCCTGAATGTGGTAATCCACAAAAGCCCACGTAAGCTATGTCTTTCATAGTGTGCCTTCCAGTATTTACTAACCACTATCAGCATTGCTGTGCTATTCTTATTTTCTTTATTTCAAACAGATCAAAGAATTGTGTCTCTATGCAATGGAGCTGTCTCTCTGAGCCCTATGTTTTCTTTGGGAACTTAAAAGGTTGCTTTAATAGGAAAGCCATTTTCCAGTGCCACACAGAGTGCTGGGCACAGTCGACCACTGATACACTATAAAAATGTATCAAAGAGCATTGTAGCTTTTTTTAAAAAGCATATGTGTGTGTGTGTGTGTGTGTTCAGACTGAGCCATGACACAGACTCTTTGTAGTTAGTCATTCTTTACAAGTCATGCTTAGTTGTCAGATGTTGGTCCAAGTTTGCAGAGCTACAGTTTTGTTCTCTTTCTATTGGCAGTACATTGGTAGTGCTTGCTCAATATGTGTCGGTAAATACCACTCCATCCATTCCAGTTCCAAAGCCAAGGAGTGTCCCGTTAAACTCTGTTGTATGTCATCAGAAAGCACAGGTCGGTTAAATACTTCATAACCTGCATTTAACCCTTCCTGTTGTGAGTTTTTTTCTCTTGACCAGAAGTCCCTGTTTCAGCATGGATTTTGTCATTAATTCTTAGGAAAGAGCTAACCTCTTTCTGTAACTTTCAAGTGTTGACAGAAGGAGCCAGAGAGTTTCCAGCATGCCTTGTCTTGGCCTGGGAGCAGCAGCTCTCATGCCGTTCACACCCCTCTGAACTGCTGTCAGCAGTACCTAGTCACAGGGATGTGGGCCACGGGCTGGGTCCACCCTGCTTCACGTTTGGACGGCGAGGCCTGATTATTTTGGGGGGGCCCTTGAAGAACCCGTGGTAGGTACTAATGCAGAGAGTTAACCAGTATTGATTTCAGCCTGAGGGTGGGAATTGCTCCTTGCTAGAAAAAATAGCCTCGTGTCATTCTCTCCTGAGTAACAAGAGTGTTTGCAGGCTCTGGTAGACAGAAAGCTGCCTGCTTGCCCTTCCCCAGTGTAAAACGAGAAGAGTTTTCCTTGAACAAGGCAGCCAGATCCAGTCTGCAAAATCACTTTGAAACAATGTCCTGTATTATCTCCATTTCTGTCTGTTTTACTGCCATGTCTTTTGTTCCCTTTGGAAACCACCCAACGTATATTTTGACATGAGTAATTATTTGTTTTAATGGACAAGTATGTGACCTACTTCTGGCCGGATCTCTTCAGGCTCCTCATCCCTAGGAAATCCTCTGATGACCTGTTTGCTTCCTGGTTTAAATATCTCAGAATAGTTTTGCCCTCTTCACATGTTAGAAAGCCATAAAAACCTGTCTGACTGATGTTGAGGAGAACCTTAGATTTTTTAAGACAATAAAAATGATTGGATTTTGGATGGGAAAACTTTGAGCTGAAAAAAGCGTAACACTGGGACTTGGCAGGGAGAGGGAGTGTAGTCGTGGGTATCTCCTACCCTTCTTCCACAGCAGAAATCACTTGTATTGTGGAAAAAGTGGCTGAGAAGGGAGAAATAGTTTAGCTTTTAACCTCCATTGGTGATGATCAGGAGATCTGAATCGTGTTTGCCTGGCTTCATCTCATGGTGCAAGTATGGAGAAGTCACCCATCCTTCCCATACTTTGGGGCGATGGACAATACTTCCTTCCCCTCACCTCAGGGTCAAGCTTAAGCCCATCAGAGCTACGGAGAGACCCAAAGTCCTGTAATCACAGGCATCCTGTCGAAAGGTTTTCCTACTTTCGTTAATGTTTTTTTGACCCTTTCTTAAGTGGTAGCTTGTTCTAGGGAGGGGTGTATTTTTGACCAAGCAGCACGCTCTCAATTTGCATTTCATTGTAATTAACCTGGCTTCCAAGCCAGCTGTGCAGCCAGGGTGAGCCTAGGACCTTTAATTTATTGAGGAAGAAACATGGTTTCTAATGGGCCACTGGAATTTTTCTTCAAGTGGGATTCAGTCCTGGTTTGTTTAGTTAAACTTCAGATTTGAGCATTGCTTGGTGGAGACCACAGTATCAGAAGGAAATGGTTGCCTCTGCTTGTTTCCCATGACCTATTACTTCAGCCTCCAAGGGGATGCATCTGGGGACTGCTCTGTTTATCTAGCTGACTACTGCTTCAGTGGGAATTTTGACACGGGAGGAGAGCCTGGCCATCAGAGGGGCGGGGGACGGGGAGCGCTCCAGACTGGCAGCTCCTGTGGGAGAAAGGAAATGTTTTGCCTTATGAAATCTGAAGATTAAAGCCTTTGGTCACTCTCTCCTCAGCAGTCGTCCTTCTCTTGGCTTAAGTATGTTAGTACAGAGCTCCTTGTCGGCATGGGGCAGAGGTGGCTTTCTCCAGCCTTGCTTGATCTCCTGCTCCCTTCCCCCACTGTCACTTTTGTCTCCGATTAAATATTTTGAAAGGAAACAGATGGGGATGCTTTGAGCCCCAGCGGGCTAGAGTGCAGGATTCCTGAACCTGTATGGGTATTACTCAGCCTGGTGGTAACGTTTTACTGACCGGTTTATTTTCTTTTTGATTTGAACAAAGGAGGCCTGACTACTCCTGATTTATGAGAGGTAAATAAAAAGCGGTTCGTTGTCTGCACTGCCATTTCTCAGCAATCGTCAGGAAGGAAAGAGATGGTCACGCCACTAATGATTTAAAGTGTGTGACTAGCAGCTATACACTGCCATTAAATAATACAAAAAAAAGTTCTTGGCTTGTAACGAGCATTTGGCTCCTCTTGCTTTTAGAGGAAGTGAGTAATCAAAGGGGAAAAACATGCCTATTAAAGTGACGCCCATTTTAAAGACTACGCTGGTGGACTGTATTGCAGCCTGCACCATCAGGGCTTGCTTCTTTTCGCTGTTGCTGTTGCAACATCTTCCCACACACACAGTGTCAGGCATTCAGTCTTGTTTCCTTCCATTGGTGATGATGCTTGTGTCAGTCCTGTAAGGCAAGTCTTAAAACCTTTGGTATCCTACAGGAAAGAGAGAAACTTCCCATCACCTCCAACACAGGATTTCCCCTGCAGTTCTGCTACCCTTACACTGATCTGGTTCACAGCTACGTGGAGTTTTGGCGAAGCGCATGACATTTTTGTGGAGACTGCCGAGTGCTCCACAGAGTTTCTGTGGAAGAGTTGTTACTATTCTAAGCGGTAGCAGCTGATATAAATTTAAAATTGCCTTAATAAAAAAAGAGCACAGTTATTTTCCAGGCCTTGTTTCTACTGCATACACTGGCAGCACTTGCAGCAATGCTGCTCCAAGCATACATGAAACAATCAGGGTCTTTCTGATGCCTTCCAGACAAGTCAGAGCTATTTTGGGAGCTCTAATACATGTTTGTAAACTCTCAGATCATTTTTGCATCCTTAACACTCAGAAATATCTCCTTCCTGCCCTGCTTAAAAACAAGTAATGCTTCTTATTTTGATTTCCTAGAAATGAGTGGGGATTTTTTTCCCCTTCCAGGCTCTCCCCAGTCCTTTTGTAGAGACTTGGCTCCCAGCTCACTAGCTAATCAGATCTCTCTTGTTCGCGACTGACTGTACTGAGGGCTGTAACGTCCAGGGCTTTATTCTTGCTCTTTGCCTGCTGTTCCCCAGGCAAGACGTGGAGCGGATAGGAGGAAGGACTCTTGCTTCTCAACAGCCAGCCCCCGGGGTCCCGGAGAGGGATCACTCATGGCGCTCCTACAGAGATGTCATCTGCTCTGCGAGAAGGAGCATGGCCAGGTCAAGAGGAAGGGCAAGGGGAAGGGGGCCGTGCAGGCAGCAGGCGAGAGGGGTGTTTAGACCCGCAGTTCCGCCCCTTGTCCCCCGCTTCCCAGGGAGGGGTCAGCCTGCGGAGCCTGCTTCTGATCGCTGATGTTTTGCCAGGCTTGTAATTTCACGTTCGTTCTCACAGCACAAAAAACGTAATTGCGCGGTCCCTCCCACACGGCACTCATCATCGCCTACCAGGGCTGACTCGTTTCCTGTTACATGCTTGCTTCAGCACTTCGTTTTTACCTTTTGTGGCTTTCCTTTTCCAGCCCCAGGAGCAACACGCTGCTGCACTACATTCTCTGGTCGCTAACCCAAGAGTTCCCGTGGTTTTCGGGTCTTAGGGCTTGGGGTGCTGCATTGGGTTTGGTTTTAAGGCACGAGAGGTAGCAGCCCTGTAGCATTTCCGGAAACAGGATCATTATCAAGCTGGCAGTGGCTCTGGGGCGTGAATTTCAGAGGTTCTGCTTTGTCGAGATTTAGATCTGAGAAAACAAAGCTCTGAGGGATTTTCGCTCACCTCAGAAGAAACAGTGCTGAGAGTTGTACGTCAAGGTCACTCAATTATCCCAGCCCCCTCCGCTCCTTCTCATCACGTGACCTGCTTGTAGCCGACGAAGAATTAAAGCAGGGCCACGGATTGATTTTTCCCAAGGAAATCCTCCTGGGAGATAACCTGTGTGAATGCCTGGGCAGAACTGGGCAGAGGTCCCAAGAACAGGGCTGAGCCTCACAAAAATCCTCAGAGGTCGGAGGCAGGGCTGGCTGCCCTAGCAGTAAATTGTACCAGCAGCTTTGGCTTGATGTGGTTGCGAGCAATGCAGAAACCCAAAAAAGGCTTTCCCGAGGCTGAAATGTTTCAAAAAAGGGACAGAGATAAAAGCTGCAGATTAGTACCTTGCTTTGGGGCAAAGACAGGCTATCCTGACCTAACAAATGCAGAGCGCGGTTGGTTTGTATGCATGGAGTTACTGACCTGCTAGTTTGTAATAAAACAGGTTCCAGAAAAAAAAAAAAAAGAAATCCCCCCCCACTGATGTAAAATCTGCCTTCAAAGTAGGAGATAGGCTGCCTTGTCAGCTGGGGTAATTTGGCTCATCAGATTTATTAGCATGCTTGTCAGTAATACGCATTTTATCTGATGATCTGATGCTGTAATTTGTTTGCAGCACAAAGTCAGCTTGTTTAATAAGCTGCTGAGGCTTGGGCAGAGGGAGGGGGTGAGGTTTTTAATCGGTGTGTTGGGAAGAGAGTGAGCGCGGAGACTGTGTGTCGGTCAGGAGCAATGCTCAGCATCTGGCCTGTGCGAACGCTTCGTATAGCAGTAGCAATCCGGAGGCTTCAGAGCAGTGCTCAACACATTTGGGGATTTTTGTGTTTTCACAGAAGTGCACTGCCTGCGTCTCCAGTGCCAGACGTTAGATGGGAGGCAGCACCTTGGGGGGAATCCCTGTTAGACACACACACTCACACGCGCACACCCCCATTCACACAAGCTATGTGTGATCTCTTTGTGTTATGGCATTGTGTTATGCATGCGTTGTACCTGCAGCTGTGCGGGTGGCCAGCCTGGTATGTCCTCACTGGTCTCTGCTCTCCCCTTACAGATGGCTCTGCCATACTGGGTTGCAAGCTCTCTTGGACCGTCTAGCCTCCAGCATGCATTGCAGGCCCAGAAAACCATGAGGCAGGGCTCTGCTAGCGACCTCTCTGCCAACCTTGCTTTTCCCTCCTCCCCATCTATCACTTCAAACCAAAGTTCAGGAAATACTGAACATGTATGAAATCCAGAACATGTGATTTTTGTATTAGTTGTTTTAGCCAGAGAATCACCCACAGCAGGGGCAACACAGAAATGTAGTGAGTAGCTATCCTGTCATCGGAAAATCCACAGCACAGACTGTCTTCTCTAGCACTGATCATCACAGTCCAATGGGGTTTGTACTGCTCTAGCTCTCAGGAAAAGGGATGTGCTGGAATTGTCCCCGCTTCTCACCTACTTACCTTGCTTCTCGACTTCCCAGGGTCCCTCAACACACCACATACTCAACTCCCAGTGCCACACTGGCAGTAGATGAGGAAGGCAAAAATACTGGAGGAATTGGCCACAAAGGAGCCTGAAGAGAATTCTTTCCTCCAAAGATGAGTTGTAGGTGGTTGCTGCCTTTGGATCTGAGTATGAAGCAAAAGGGAATTAGACCAGGTTTGGCTTAGCTTCTCAGAAAAACACAGCTGATTAAAGAAAAAAAAATTGTTGAATAAAATGTGTGCAACACGCAAACGAGCAAACCCTCATGCTTAGCTATCTCACACACCACCAGCCAACGTCCAAGCCTTCAGGCTGCTGGCCAGCTTGGAGCTATTCGTTCAGCTGGCATGGTGCGTGTGTGCTATCTCAGCTGCACGTCTGAGAGAACAGAGGGACGTTAGCCCTCATATTCATGGCATGCCTGCATAAGCCCATCTAAAGCCATGCACTGTAGGCCTAGGGAACCCAACCACCAGATATACGCAGCTTGCAGTTTTTCCGGGGATTGGCGAGGGGTGTATAGCCCCAGGATCTGCCGGTGGCTGGGGGAGCTGTTTGCCAACCCCACATGGCTGCTGGTTCTGCTGAAGCAGGGCCAGCTTCCAGGACAGAGGCTCAAGTGATGGCAGGCTGCTGCTGCAGAGGTCTCAGAAATCACAGCCAAAGCAGATTTTAAGAGAAGGTGAAGTTCTGTAAATTTTGAGTCTTGTAAACTAAGATTGGTCCCATGAAGAAGTGTAAGTTAGGGAGATTGAGACCAAAGCCGAGCATGCAAATTTCAGCTCCTGCCTGCGTATCAGCTAATGAAAATACAGAAGAGGCAGACTTTTTTGAAAGTGAATAGACATACAAAAATCCTCCGGCACCTTTGCAAATCTAACCGCTGACTTCAGGCATTAGGGATTTGAAACTTTGTCTTGTGTCTTTTAATTTAGCAGGACTTACTTGAGCAACTGCAATTTTCCCTAGAAAAACATATTTGTTTCTGAGTAATATTCTCTCTTAGGGTCACTTAAAGGTAGAGCAGGGAAAATTTTAGCACACCTGACGTTTTCCTAAGTAAGGAGATGAGAATTACCACGTTTATTTTGTACTCTGAGTCAAGTCAGACTGCGGCGTATAGCAGAAGATACGGGGCATCGAGCACTGGATATGATGGCAGAACCGCGCCGGCAGGGCACTGTAAACAGTGCCATAACTTCACTCCCTGAGAGTGATTTGTCCACGTTGTTACACTTTCCACACTCCTCCTGAAAGCTAAGGGAACTTTTATGAGAGGGTGGTGAGAAGTCAAAGTCAGTCTGTTTCCAAATTCAAGAGTGTTTGTCACTAGGGATCAGCAATAAGCAATGCAACTCTTTTGCCTGTATGTTAATACAAGGCACCAGGGAAATGTCTGCATATTTTTCGTGCATACTACGAGTTAATTATTACCACAAGACTTTTCTTTAAAGTCATACTGAAAATATTTTCCCTAAGAAAACAGTAAATGATTGGAAAAGCAAATAAATCAGTGTTTAAAGGCTTGTTATCTTACCATCCTTACCACAACTGACTCCTGCAAGCTCTGATGATGGATGAGCACATTACAACTGCACGTATTTAAGGCACTACAGGCTTTTCAGTGCCAGGAGCTTAAAGTACACTGTCAAGTTATAAATCACAGGCCAAAGTTGTGCCTTGACATCATTGCACTCCAAGCAACTCGAATGGCAGTATTATTTTTAAGTCCTTGCATGTTTCTAATGAAATATTAGGTTTGTTTTTAATTTACGTTTTTACCATGTTTGTTTGTTTTGCATTTTGCTCAGCTTGAGCAGGGAAACTCAGAGGTACATTTCCAATAAATCTCACTTCTATTCATACGTGCTAACTGTGTTTGACTTGCAAATGTCACAGGGAAATGTTAATTTAAAACACTTTGGGAGAAAGAATTTCTATTATATTGGGCTTATTGTTTTTTAATTTTTTTTTTCTTTTATAAAACTTCAAACCTGAATTAAAATGTCTTAGCCTTTTCTTGGGATGTGGGACAAACCCATCCCTTCCCTGCTAAGTCTTTCCTTCTGCCCTACATGTTCCACCCGCCTGTCCTCTCTGACTGTACTCCATGGAGCTGTTTGTTAACAATTACCTGCAGCTCTGTCCACCTGCACGTGTTGCAGAACACAACAGTCACCTGCGAACTGGTACTTTGATTCTGTCTCTATTCTGATTAAGACTCATTTATTCTTTCATTAGGTGCAAAGTTTCCCATTAAATGGACTGCACCAGAAGCGGCATTGTATGGAAGGTTCACAATAAAGTCAGATGTGTGGTCTTTTGGGATCCTACTGACAGAGCTGGTAACAAAAGGGAGAGTGCCATACCCAGGTAAGAAAACAGTCTGAGCCCTGCTTCACTTGGGGAAAGGAGTGGGAACGAGCCATATGCTTAAATTGGAATGTTTATTTATTTTCACTGGGCTCAAAGGAGGATGGTTATCATGCGTAAGTTCTGTGTATGCTTGAGAACGGTCCTGACTCTGAAAGCTGCTGTATGATGGTCATGATAAAAATGACAAGAGGCCAGAAAATCCAACATATTCATTTCTAAGTTTTTAATTGTTCTCGATTCAATTAATTATTAATTATTAATTAT